AATTAGTGTTCTTGGAACTGGTGATTCTGAGAAGGGCAGCTTTGGCTGGTTATACAGTGAACTGCTTGTTAATGTGTCAGTTCAAATAACTGAAAAATACCAAGTTGTATTTTTATTAGTTTTTTGTAAAGAATGATGTGCTCTATTTGCACTTGTTCACTTAGGAGAATTACCAACAAATAAAACTGTAGCTCAATTTAATGAATGAAAGTGTTTGTGAAATGAGGTATTGACATATTTCTTTTTTGCAGTGCTTAATTTTATTGTGAAGCTTTTAGGAAGATTATTCCCCATTTTCCTATGGAATGGAAAAATTGATGACAAGTAGATGCATCCTAAGTGGGCCTGCTAATCAGCAGAAGCTGTATAGATCACATTTGCTGCAAATGAACTCTTCTTTATTTTGTTCTTACAATGAAAATGAGATTGCTATGCAATCCATAGCTTTGGTAGTCTTGCCTTTTTTTTTTTTAAAAAATCTGGAGACAGATCCCTAACAGGGTAAGATAAATTCTAAAGTTCCAAAATTGTTTGAAAATACAAGCAGGTACTCTGGTAATTATGTGAAACCTGCTATTATGTGACCTGCAAGGTCAGTTATGCAGGTCCTGCTTGACCAACCTGATCTTTTATGACCAGGTGACCCATCTAGTGGATGAGGGAAAGACTGTGGATGTTATCTACCTGGGTTTCAGTAAAACCTATGCTACTGTCTCTCATGACATTCTCCTGGAGAAGTTGGTAGCCCATAGCTTAGATGGATGAACTCCTTCCTAGGTTAAAAACTGGCTAGCTGGCCAGGGCCACAGAGTGGTGGTAAATGATGATACTAGCCAGTCACTAGTGGTGTCCCCCAGGGCTGAGTATTGAGGCCAATCTTGTTTAATATTTTTCATCAATGATCTGGATGTGGGAATTGAGTTCACCCTCAGTTCAATGATCCTAGCACTAGTGGTGTCCCCCAGGGCTGAGTATTGAGGCCAATCTTGTTTAATATTTTTCATCAATGATCTGGATGTGGGAATTGAGTTCACCCTCAGTTCACAGATGACACTACATTGGGTTTGAGTGTTGAACTGCTGAAGGGTAGGAAGACTTTGCAGAGGGATCTGGACAGGCTGGATCAATGGGCCAAGGACAATGATATGAGGTTCAATAAGGCCAAGTGCCAAGTCCTGCACTTGGGTCACAAGAACCCCATGCAGCACTACAGGCTTGGGGAATAATGGCTGAAAAGTGGTCCGGCTGAAAAGTGGTCCAGCAGAAAAGGACCCAGAGGTGCTGGTCGACAGACACCTGAAGTGTGCCCTGGTGGCCAAGAAGGCCAATGCCATCCTGGCCTGTATCAGAAGTAGTGTGGCCAGCAGGACCAGGGCACTGATCTTCCCCCTGTGCTTGGCACTGGTGAGGCCACATGTCAAATTCTGTGTTCAGTTTTGGGCCCCTCACGACAAGGACATTGAGATGCTTGAGCATGTCCAGAGAAGGGCAACAAAGTTGGTGAAGGGTCTATATGGGGAGCAGCTGGGGGAGCAGCTGAGGGACCTGATGTTGTTTAGCCTGGAGAAAATGAGGCTCATGGGAGACCTCATTGCTCCCTACAACCACCTGAAAGGAGGTTGCAGCAAGGTTGTGGGAGGCCTCATCTTCGAGGCAACTAGTGACAGGACAAGAGGAAATGACCTCAAGCTGTGCCAGGGTAGGAAGATATTTTCACTAGAAGAGTCATTAAGCATTGGAATAGGCTGCCCAGGGAGGTGGAGGAGCCACCATCACTGGAAGTGTTCAAGAAATGACTGGATGTGGCACTTTATGCTCTATTTTAGTTAACATGGCGGTGTTTGGTCAAAGGTTGGACTCAATGGTCTTTTGCAACCTTTAATAATTCTATGATCAGTAGCTGCCTTAAAACATCAGGTGAAATGTCTATATCGTGAATTTTTAATAGCATTCACCGAAGTCACTTGTATCTCCCCACTGTTTTTCATTGTCTAAACTTCAGATGGTGACAAATAATTCAAACCAGCTTCTATCCAAGGCTTGCCCACCATGTTTACAG